TTGAAATGTTTAGCAAAATAGAATATGTTTTATTATCAATATCATAATAGCTCAGCACCAGCTCAAGTGCAGAAGCGCCAAATAGAATATAATGCTCAAATATGGATCCACAATATGCATCTCTATGCCACTAACATATCTTTGGGGCAAAACGCTTCATAAAATCATAATAATCCCCAATAATGGCAGTTGGCCTAATTTCTGCAGCCTCATCAACTTTTTTCCTGAAAATAAATTTAAATGTACAAGTTGAATTAGACTTAATATGAACTGATATTAGACTTAATAGGAACTGGCATTAAACTTAACATGAACTGATATTAAACTTAACATGAACTGATATTAGACTTAACATGAATTAAATTGGACTTAACATGAAATTAGAATTAATATGAACCTCAATTTAGATTACATGGAAATCGGTTTCGATAACATGAACCTCAGTTTAAATTTGATATATTAGACTTCACATGAATTAAATTAGACTTCACATGAAATTAGAATTAACATGAACCTCAGTTTAGATTACATGGAAATCAGTTTAGATAACATGAACCTCAGTTTAAATTGGATAACATGCAAAGGGGTTAAGTTCTTTAATTAAGAAAAAAAACCTAGCACTTACTTCTTTTTGGGGTTGGATTCGTTGGAACCATCCGTTGCTGGTCTTCTTTTTTTGCATCGACCTCATACTTCACCATTTCGCATGACCAAAAGGGCCTTTGATGCTTCCTCCGTGCTTCCAATCCCAGATGATTCACGAGATTCACCATCCCTTCCATTCCCAAATGATTCACGAAGTGCGCCCGACGACTGTGATTTGGCTTCATCTTTCTCCTGCCGTCCACCGTGATGAACAACTTCGAAATCGTTAACCAATGCTTCCTTCGATGACATTTTCGCGAGGAAACCCCTAACCCAAGATTGAAATTCGAGATGGCAGACATGGAGTTTGAGAATTTTCAGTGGCTGCTCAATAGTAGAAGAGAAAGAGGGAGAGAGAGTACTTGAGTGGGGAGAGAGCGCTGTTACCAAGTTCGGTCAAATCAGATGGTGGGATTGTAACTTCAATTGGGTTTTTCTCTCTCGGTAACTTTGGGGCCTTAACACAAATACACCATATATTTTGGGCTGAATCACATGACCCAAAATATAGAGGGTCACGTCACATGGGCTTCTTATATTTGGGGGTTGACACAACTTTCCCTCCTTAGTTAATTATTAACTAGGTAATTGATAAATTTACTAAATAGTAATTATCAACCTAATATATATTTAATTAGTTAGCCACAATAGGAGATTCAACAAGATTATATTGCAGCCAATTGACAGCTATCATAACTTTACAAGTTATTGGTTTACCAAACATATAACTACACTTAAATCCATGTAAGTCGAGGATTATACCAAACATATTTATCCTCTTTACCTCTTTATAAGGAGTTTTGAAAATAAGTATTAACTTACAAGGTTGCATAAAATGAGTTGTCGCCAAACATGCTCTTAAAGGGAATACAATGAATAATCAGATCCAGAGACTTCGGTTACTCTCCCAGTCACAAACTGAATAAAATTAATCCATTTAGTACCCTATTGCTAGAATTTGGACATGATACAGCAGAAATTTACCTCCAGGACAATTATCCATGGTGATTACAAACTTGAACCTGATGCACGCACAGCTTCACTGAATCAATCATCGAACAGATGACATGACATTAAGACTACCTTTTTTAACCTCTACCCATACATAACCGATTTTACTATACATTTTAGGAAAAAGTTCTAGCTTATCAGGACTTCGGCTAGAATAAGTGCCTCATATGTGGGTTATTGCGCTGCCTCAGCCTCAGCCCCACATCCACTTCTTGCTCACGCCGCATCAATCCAGCATCAGGCTGTTGATTCATATTACCTTGACCCTGGGGAATAACCGGCGGCTGCTCATTGCTCCTATTAACTGAATCTTCACCAAAATTATGCAGTCTCCTGCCGATGAGATATCGATCATCCCTGATGGAGTTGTGGAGGTTAGTGAACCAGACATGGAATCTCTTCCCACAGAAGAACACCACACTGAAGAGAAGGCAACCGAGCCAAGAAAAGCGGTATACAGCAGAGTTTACAATCAGTGGATAGCCGAGAACCGGGAAGAGACCCCTTGCAAATACATAGGGAACACAAAGTGCAGTCAGAAGCTTGGAGATGATTGGGATTACAATCTCGCGGAGGACCCAAAGACCTCTTAGGCCAGAGAACCCGTCTTCTCTAACCCTCTCGAATTTTACACGCCAGCTTTCATCGACCAGTGGAGCCATATGATCCAGCATAACCTATTGCAGTAAGCAGAATAGAGTTGTAAGCTGTGAGTCTTATCCTATTGATTGTAGCCGTTTAACCTCGATATTGAGCTAACATAATAATTGTCAAGGTATCCAATTTAAGCCCACACCACATTGAACAGTAGCTTGCTCTCTAGTCCATTTTAATTTACCAAATGTATAGGACAGGCTACAGATATACTTAATGATTTAGGTATTTTGCAACCAGCAGTGTGATCCAGCAGTGCGACCCAGCAGTGCGATCAATTTGAATGACAACCAAGAAGTTTGGATTAGTAGGGTTCAAGCTTGAAATGTATTACAGCACCCAGTGGAAGGTTTTCCAATACTCTCTATGACACTGATTATTGAATTTCATGTTCCGACATATCAAAAGAAATTATAAACATTATTGAAATTTGGTTTACTTATTCCACAGAGAAACAAAGGTACTAGAAAGTTACCAGTCTAGTCCAGATCTTGAGAAATATCAACCCCAAAGCCCAATCCTGATACAAGAGGAAAACAGGACTCTCATCCACAGGCACCCGCATTGGCACAATTACCAGCAACTCGAAGAGTAGCCCAATCAGGACAGGGATAACAAAGATCTAAAGTGAGCACAAAAGTATCAGTAAGGAAGCAATGAAGTAATTAAGTCATTTTTACAAGTAGGAACAGAAATATTTATGACTGGGAAATCATACCCATATAGATAACAGGACAGAACTCTTCACAACAATGGTACACCACTTCCAAACCTGTGATATAAGAACCCTTGCTCTTCGGGTTTTAATATACTCTACTGAATACCTAACCCCAGCAAGAAAAGTCCAGATGAGATAGCAGCCGATGCTGAATGCAAAGAGATCTGGAAAAAGAAGCCTTTAACATGTCACTCCCTATAAAACAAGAAAAGCAACACTTAAATAATATTGTCAAACTTGCATACCATTACACTTGATGCCATGTGTAATTGGAAGGCGAGGAATGGCATTAAACAGAGCTCGTCCTATTGAGACAGGTATAACGATCACAGCTGCGTTAAAGAGCAGAAGGGTCATCCAAGCCAGGACCAGCAATATCACGATACGGAATACAAAGCCATACCTGCAGGGAATTACATGGAACTATCAGAATTTGCAAAAGTTTAAATTGGTATCTCCAGAAAACTATCGAGTAGAAAATGAAATCCCAATGACATAAAACAACTTTAACGACCACAAATCAAAGAAATGCTTGATTACAGGACCTATCTGTTAATAACATGACAAAATGGCTCGAACCTAGTTCCCTTTCAACTGTTCTTATGCAGAAAAAAAAGGATAATAAATTTTGCCATTAACTTCACAAATTCAAGGGCCTCCCACATCAGATTGCTGGCCTGCTAAGTTGTGCTGTGCATAGGGAGGATTATAGGCATAAAAATTTGTGATAAATTAGATAAAATTGGATTTCTTCTAACCCTCAAAGAACTGGTTGTATTCTTGACCCAAAATAAATCAGATTCCTGATGACTGACAGTGCAAGTGGCAAGTGTGCTTGCTATACATTGTTAGCCCTTTATCATATTAATGAACTTTTGGGTTAATGGTTCTGAAACGATATCAGAGTTTTAATAAGAGAGGGGTTCAAACCCCATCACTTTCAATAAAATATACTGTTTAAGCTCAATTCTTTTGCTTTTTAAGTGTCTCGTATTTATGATGGAGGACTTCCCAAGTGGCACAAAGGCACATATGAAGTCAAATATGTTAAAACTTTCTTAATATGCATTCTCGTCCATAAGCCTAAGCAAGGTTTTAAATATCGGATGTCGGGTTCATGTCGCTCGGCCAAAATTCATGTCGGATAGCGGAAATCGGGGATATATCGGGGGACATGAAAAAATATCGGATTTCCATATCGGGTAGGTTGATATAATATCATAAATGGAATCTTCACATACTTGATAATTATATTGTCTAAACATATGAAAAAGTACATATGAGAAGGGTCTTCGTTTTCACAAGCAACCACCAAGTTTTTGCTTTTGCATAGAAAACCAAATAGACACTAGAACAGCTGCACAATTCAGTTTTATTCCCCTTTCCATAGAAAACATTATTTGTAAAAGGCTTCTTCACTACCATGCCAATAAGCAAACTTTACTAAATTCTACTACATGTTACTGTAACCCTCTAGATCAATGGCTTCTACTACATGTTAATGTAATCATTTTAATATTATAACTTAACTAAGAATTATGCTATTATTTAATACATTATAGTGAATAATAGTATTATAATTATACTATAGATAAATATTATAAATTGTTATAAATATCTATAGTATTATAATTATACTATAGATAAATATTATGACTATCCTAAATTACAATTAAAAATATAATAATTATCTATTATAATTTTAAATAATTATTTAATTTATTATAAATGTCTAAATAAATTATAATTAAAGTATAATAATTATCCAGAATATAAAAATTACTAATGCAATTCTTTATACACAACTTTATTTATTAATGTAAAGATTTATTAATTGTTCAATTTAAGAATTTATGTTATTATAAAAGTCACTTCATAATTTTACACTCAAAGAAAAAGATTACAAAAAAAATGTTCACATACAAAGCGCGTGCATTATACTAGTAGGAACAAAAAAAAAATTCTACTGAAATTGAAAATTAAACTCGTAATTGCTATTCTAAACTACTTAACTGCATCGACTAACAATTGCAGGATTTTTATTATATATCTGTCATTTCTCCAAACAAGAAACTAGTAAAACCGAAGTATATGTGCACCTAATACAAATAAATTCATGTGTTCTTATAGCCTTCCATTATAAAGAAAACACATGCAATAACAAGTAATTAAAACCTACAACAAGCACCCATATGGGTAGTGGATGGGAAACAATGTGAAACTTTACATAAATAGAAGGTGAAAGATATTGCAAATCATATGATTTCAACATGTCAATGTGAAACCGATATTTCTGAATTTTGGCCGATATTTGATGGCCGAAATGTCGCCCGATATATCCGCTATTTTCCGACATGTCCCCGACATGACCTCAAAAACGCCATACGCATTAAATTCAACAATTTCGTGGCGGCTAGGCTCCGAATCCGCAATATCGGCCGCCATGTCCGACATGGCGGCCGATATTTAAAACACTGAGCCTAAGACCGCAAAAGTGGTTCCATTGTTACTTTTTGATGTAACTGTATCATGCAACACAAACGCTTGTGGGGTATATGACTCAAGTATCTGCACTGCTTACTGCATATGCAATTTCATAATTTCTAGTTGGGTCAAATAGTAGACTTTGGATATCTGATGCATACAATGTTATATGAATCACTTAGTACTTTCTTTGATTTGTGCAACTTGTCTAAGTTTCTGTAGGTTTTTCTCTACGTTTAATCAATTTTTTCACAAAGAAAGATGAAAAGCGGTTGTTTCTTTTGCTGCTAAAGCTCCTCAAGCCTCAAGAGCAGGCCCTTTCTCCATCTCATTGCAATGTGGTCAGTGCAACCTTTTATTAGTGCCTGTGTCTGCAATCCCCCAAATATCCGACCAGCCTTCCTACTCAACATTTTGTGCTCAATGTGTGTGGCTGGGTGTGGGTGAGGGGTGTTACCTATTCTAGGCTATGAAGGCTTAAATACATATGAAAAGCATCAATCAGACTAAAGGACGATAACCAAGTAACCAACATATGTAATTGCATGCAAGCACATATTCATGCTGCACTTTAGGGGCTTCTATATTCTCCACTATGAAGGCTTCAAATATGCAAGAGCGGCAACGGCAGGAAACATACATAATTCTATACATGAACATAGACATACATTTGCAGGTATGCAGGCATTTATATGCACATAATATAATTTATCAATGATATATAAGCCTCTTAAAGCAGTCATCTAACCCCAAGCATATGGCATCCATGTACATCGACCAATGATATATAAGCCTCTTACGCAGTCATCTACCCCAAGCAGATGGCATCCATGTGCATCGACCAATCAACAATAAAGAATTCCTGAGCCTACGTCACCTGACTATTGAAGATGGAACAGAGTTCAAAACCAACCACTATGAAAGGTTTCAAATGTGTAAGAACACCATCAGGCAACATATTTAAGTAGATCCAATGACATACTTAGCAGGCATGCAGGCATGTATACACACAATATAATCACCAAGGGTACCTAGGCCTCTTAGAACAGCCACCTAATCCCCAAACATGCATCCGTGTTCACTGCAAACCAATCAGTTATTGAGGAAATCCCTTGAGCCAAACCTACTATGGATGGTGAAATAAACTAAAACCAACTACTATGTATGATGAAATAAAACTGAATAACTAATGCGAAAGTGAATGCTCAGCCACCACACCTATCCCTTGTTATATTAGAAAAGAAGAAAGTGCATGGCTTGAAAGGTACTTACTCTGAATCTGGTTGATCATCTATATCGGACTCTTCTTCAACATCAAGATTTGCAAATGTATGACCTCTCCTCTCATTATCAGCAGCAATTAAAGCCACTGGAAGCTGCTCTTGCTGCATATGCCCCCCTTGACGTGCCTCATGCAGTCTGTCTCTCCTTGCCGCTAGCTCCCCATTTTCTAGCCCACCGTTATCCTCAGGTCTCGGCAGCAAGAAATCAGTCAGGCCAAGCGCCCAACCAACTGCTGTGAACCATTGACGTAAAAGGGCTTTGACTGTTGCCCGTGGCTTAAAATGCTCAATTGCAAATGGGATGCATATTTGAAAGAGAAGCACGTCAGCAGGGATCTCCGTAAACGGATCAAAAATTCTGCAATTCATTAACCCACCACAATGTCAGCCAATATTTTAAAAGAAAGTAAAGCATCTTAGCAACACAGATTGCATGCAAGCATACAGGAAGTCACGTATCATGTAAAAGGAACTCACGTGATATCCAGAGGAAAGGTAGAAGGTGCCAACCGCATGGCAAGTTTGACAGGCAAGAAGACAAGCATCACGATCAAGCTTCCATAAACAGCAACAGACAATAAAACGCGACGGGCATGCTTGTGCACAGGGTCATCAATTAGATCACGGAATGGATTATAATTTGGATCTGCTGGATCACGGAGAAAATACAGAACTCCATTCCGTAAAACCTACCAGTAATACAGATAAGTTACTTCCGAATACCTAAGACAGATCAAAAGAATATGATGGGTTAAAGTTTCTTTAAAAAATAAAAGTACCCCTCGAAGAAGGCTGACGAAAATGCTTATTTGAAGCATGTAAATAATCCCAACAAGCCAATGAATAGAAGAGCTTGCCAATGGTGATAGCGAGAAGAACTCAAGCCTTTTGGCAATAGACGTGCCCAGCATCCGTAATGTGCACACATCTAGCCACCATCCACACATCAATGGAAACACACCAAGTTCGATTACCAGAAGAAAAGCAACCTTGACCATAGTCATTAGATGCCTCATCCCAGCCACAAATTGCCTGAATAGGGATGGAATAGCTTCTGCTATAGAAGCTAAGCCATAGAGCCGACCAAGAATCAAGTGTTCACCCCGTGTATACCGAATTAAAGCAACAAGTGCAAGATAAAAGAAGACCAGACCAAACACGAACATATATCCAATTGCAAGAGTGGTAACATCAGAAAGGCGGGAGGACCCAGCAACTGTTCCTTTCAATAGATCTGCTGCAATTGATCTTCCAACACTGTTAGATACTCCATCAGGTCCAGTTGCATTTAATTTAGTGGCTCCTGAAACTGCTTCCAAAGCCTGTCCGAGGACACCCTCATTTTGGGTTTCAGATGACAATATCTTAACAGCAGTAAGGGCATTTTTTAAGGTGATATTTGCCAACGAAAGAGCTGACTCTCTCAGTGGCATGACCGCAGAAAGCACCGGACTAGATGCAGATGAGAAGAACCATGATAGATAGTAGAGGACAAGTCTTCCCAATGAAAAGGGAACGAAAATGACGACACCCAGGAATATTGCATTGCTTGCCAACACCTGCTTGTGAAGATAATTAGAAACTTAAAACAGTCACTGGTTAAAAAAAAAGGGTGCAAGCTAGAGTATCAGCAAAGTACATATAATAAAGGGTATGTCAACATGAATTTGGTGCATAGATTGTCGTTAACAATTTGGAAGATACAAATAACTTATATAATTGATCAGAAAGTTTGGCGTAAAGGTGCTTTTTTAGCATTGTTATCTACACACGGAATTGAGTCAAAAAGAATGAACAGAGATCTCAGAGAACACAGGCAGCAACAAATTTGAGGACAACTAATAATAAATATGGTTGACAAAAGAAAATTAAAAGAGAAGTTATAAAATGTAATCCTCTATGCCACTTTAATTTAGAGCAAGAAACCATTTCCATTCACTCATAATTGTTTTCACACTTTGATGCACATGAAATGAGAAAGCTATACAGTGTATATAAGAAATGAATGTATATTAACTGATCCGTTGTAACAACAAGAGACTTTTGAGAATGAGGAATCGTACATATGCATGTGGTGTGCACATCGCAGTTCAGAGTGTTAGCCAATACCACTAAGTATGGATCTGATTATGTCAGATATTAATCAAGACAATTCCATCTAGCTGTCACTGTCAACATATCTAATTACGACAGATAAGGATTGATATTTACTCATACCATGGCGAACAGACAGCACCAAAAGTTCCAGATAGTATATGCAAGATAGGGTGCTTCAGATGTATTCTTATTAATAAATCGCTTAATAAAGTAAGTTAGATATGCATGTTGGATATTGTGTAGAAGTGAAGGGCCAAAAAGAAAGAGAAAATTATTTGTGTTTGATTATTCGAGAGCACGGCAACATAAAAGAAAATTGACATCCAACTGCATTATCCCAGTGGTTCCCATTGTAATAAATAATAATAGATATTTGCATATTCTTGTACCAGTAGCTGATGAGCTCTTTGCACATAGAAGGGGAAAAGGGAAAATGGAAAAAAAAATTATGACATAATAACCTCAGTATCTACTTTTACAGTTTGAAGAACATGTTCCTGATAAATGTTATCTTTGTTGACTAGTTTACCATAAGAACTGTAATAGCTTAAATGCAAAGCGGCAACAAAAGTTTATCCGTTTGGATACCATGATGTTTTACTTGTTTCCATGGTGTTTTTGCCAAAAATAAAACACCATGCATTTGGAAACCATGGTGTTTTTTTAGCTAAATCATCCTCAAACCTAAAACTAAACACTTATTTCAAAACACCTTTTAGGTGTTTTAAGTTTGGTGTTTTGGTTTTGAGTTTGAGAATGTGTTAATATAATATCTAACATAATATATTAAATGTAAATATTATAGAGTTATTATCAACATGCTTATTATATTATACTATACTATACTATATTATAGTTAATTTAATATATTATTAATATTTATTAAATAATATAAAAAGATAATAAATAAAATATCTTATATAATAATATGATAACATATTAAATACCAATATTTAATATGTTAATAATGTATTATATAATAAATAAATAATAAAAACTAATAAAAACTAATAAAAATAATAAAAAAGTTATTGATAATAAATAATAATATAATAATGATATAATAATATTATAATAATATTTATTTATATCATAAATACTAATATATTATTAAAGTACTATTAATAAACTCTAACATACTAAAAACTATATTATATTATATAATATTAAAATATTTATAATATATTAATTTAGTAATAACATACTAGTAATAACATAGTATTAACATTATTAATAATATTATATATATGAATAATAGTATACTATTATATTATATTAATATAGTATAATATTATATTAATAGTAAAATAACATTATTACAAAAATATTAATATAATATACAACAATAACAAATTGATATACCAAAATAATTAAATATATAATTATTTGAAAATAATATGAAATAATTATAATATAATAATAATTATAATATAATATAACTCATTAAAGTAGAATAAATATTATAATACATTATACAATATTATATTGCATTACATTTAATACATATAATACTATACTAATGTAAAAATATTATAACATTTTATTTATAATATATTTTATTATAATTAATATATAATATATTAATATAAAATATTATAACATTTTATTTATAATATATTTTATTATAATTAATATATAATATATTAATATGTTTAATACTAATGTTATAATGGATCAAACTAGTGTTGACTAAAAATACTTAACATGGTGTTTTGAAAACATTTTAAGGGAAAAACATAACACCATGGTGTTTTTTTTTTAAAACACAACAAGGAAAACACAATGGTATCCAAACGAAGCTTAATAATAGCATTCTTATAAATCATAATATAAGATTCATTTTGCGACTGTTGCTGATTTCACGATTTACCAGCAAAATTTTCTTGCATTACAGAAACTACATTAAATAAGAACAATGCACCTATCACCTATGTGCTTTTCTGTGAGTGTATAATATGCAAATATATGTGTGCATATCTTCCATAGGTTCAAAAACAAGATTTTAAATGAAAATAAAAATCTAAACTCATCTACACATTCCACTTTACTATCACCAGCAGATAGATTTCTTGTTTTCCACGACTGTTCAATAATGAATAGATTTCTTGCTTTCCACGACTGTTCAATAATGAACTATACAGTCTTCCAATGGACTTGTTAGCAAATAAGAACTATTTTCTAGAAGGTTAATGCAGCAAATCTTATATAGCAAGCATGCAATTAAATGAGGCTTAACAGGGAACATAAAGGACTCTTCAAATAATCTAATCTGATGACGGAACAAGCCATACCAATATGTCAATATAACAATATGAACGGTGAACTTACAGTTATTGCATTTTCAACAAGATGAAAAACTGGCCCTTGCATTCCAACAAGCTCGTCGAAGGGTACATCTTCTGCGCCATCAGCATCATCCAATCCATCAAACATCTGCTCAACGTGTGCTTCAAGACGTGCTGCCTGCATTTCCAATCGAGCTGCAACATTTTCTGCATTTCTTCTAATCATTTGACCTGCTCCTGCAATTCCCTGAGCCCCGCCAGCCTCGTCAGCATTCCCTTCAACAGCATGAACCCTATTAACAGCCCCCGGCAGCCTCCTAACAGCTCGAGCACCATGTCTTTCATGACCTTCATCATCTCTATCCCCATCATGTCCTCCAAGTTCCCGGAGATGCCTAAAGTAATCCCTCAATGACGTAGCTCCGAGAAATATAAACACAATGCTTGCAGAAAGAAGGAACCCATGTAAGCAATCGGTAAGGATCAAAGGGGCGGAGAAATGGCTCAAGAATAATCGCTGGGCTTCACCAAAGCTTCTCACAAATGTCAAACGCCATATCCAAAATGTAATGAAAGGTATTATAATAAGCCAAACAGAGAGAACAAAAGCAAGCCTGAGAAAGAACTGAAGCACATGGCATGCTTTCATTGCCATTCCGACAACAAATTCCTGGAAAGGTAGCCTTGCAGGAGCATTCTCAGCATAAACAGGAGAGAAGGAGAATGCATGTTTGCAAACCTGTAGAATATACCAAAATGCATTGAATAAAGCCACATCATAATAGAATATTAACTATTAGCAGCACATAATCCGTAACTTTACTTGCAAGCCTGTCCTATAACAGTATAATCGATAAAACAAAAAGTAAACCCCAAAATTCACCATGCGAAGATAATTAAACCAGCTCTCAAACAAAACCCAACTGTCTCCCTAACAACAAATTTCACATGAAAAAAATAATGCAAAATTTACTACTCACTTAAGCGGAACAAAGCTTCGTACAAAAAAAACTGAATAAATCATGGATAAAAGCCAAACTATACCTCTAGCTACTCATGCAGTTGCATAAACATCCTTGAAAACTGTAATTTATACCTAGATTAAAACTCTTCCTTTTCAATATTGATCTTCCCCTGCCCAAAACCCTAGCTCTAACCATTGGCACATAAATAAACCAAGAAATACAGTTTTTTTAAGTCATAAGAACCAAATCCAAGCTCCCAAAAAGAGCCCTGAAAGCTGCCTTGAAGAAAGAACCTAATAAATTAAGACCATTCATGATCAAAATAAAGTCAACCTTTTTTGAGTCCAACTTCCAGAATAACTCATCAAAAAAGGAAGTTCTCAACTTTAAACTAAAGCAATATTAAAAACCCCACGAATCACGCGTCAAGAGCATAAATTTATAAATTTATCCAAAATCAGACCTCCGCTCTCCCTCATCCTTCAAACAGCAAGGAAACTAACTCCAGAAATCAATCCTTCCACCAATCAAAAACCCTCATAATCACCCAATTCATCAATCAAGGAAACTAACTCCAGAAATCAATCCTTCCACCAATCAAAAACCCTCATAATCACCCAATTCATCAATCATTTACCTTCCCATCCCATCCTTCCACCAATCAAAAACCCTCATAATCACCCAATTCATCAATCATTTACCTTCCCATCCCAACCAGGAAAGCGAACAAAACAGATCAACTCTTTTTACCCACCATACAAACCCAAAGACAACAAAATCCATGAGAAAACAACGAAACCCTGAGAATCTCACCCTAAAATCATAAACTTACAACTACAGCTCAAAAATCAGACCTCCAGTCCCCCTAAACCTCCAACTAAAGAGGAAACTAACTGCAAGATCAAAATTTTTTTTTTCATACCAATCAGAAAAACCAAAATTCCCAATTTCATCTATCACTTACCTTCTCATCCCAATCATCAAAATGCATCAAATAAACAAACTATTTCTACCAACATATAATAACCCTAGGAATCTCACCTCACACTGACGAGCGTTGCTGTGACTGAGCCACTGCAGGAGGCAATCCTGGTGAACGAACTTGATGCTTCCGCTACAAGCACAAGGGTACCTTAACGGGTTATCGGAGTCCCCAGGGTTTCTGCAGATCCGACAAACGTCGCCCTCGTCCTCATCGTCGTCGTATCGGATCTGGCTCGCGCTAGGGTTCGGAATCGGCGACGGCGGTGGCGGAGCGAGGAGCGGACCCTCG